TTTTTCATAAATAGTACGCTCTTTAGAAAAACGTTTGATTTTTAGCATTTTGTGATGAAAATTGGTCCATAGTAGCAAATTAATTTAAAAAAATTACCTGCAAGAAATTTGGACCAGATAGATCTATTTCTTAGATCCTAACATTTGTTGGGTTATCATGAAAAGCAGTAGAGAAAGTATAATTTGTAGCTTTCCATGGCCGAAGTTGAAAATAGTAAAATTAATTAGAAGTTAATAAAAGTTTAGGTTATAAGCCTTTGCAGGGAAATAATGTGCAATTTTTGGTGTCTTATTACCAAAACGAAGGGATAGTTGTAGTGAGCGAAGTGGTATTGTAGGGTATTCAGTGGTCGAGTTTGCCCAACTTTAATATTCTTAGTGGTTTTTTTCTTGTGTTTCATATAATCCAGATTATTTATTTACCTCCGTGGTTGGCAATAAATTTTTGCTCTAACGTATTAGTTTTCTTTCTTTCTTTTCATTTTATATCGCTTGATTTATTTATTTATCCAAGTTATTTTGTCTGCATTTATGTCTAAGCTACAACTTAATCCACCTAAATTGGGCATTTAGAAAAAAATAAGATTGCTTTTTAAAAATATGTCGCAGTGATTTTGTTTTTAAAGAGCCTGACTAAAATCAGTTATTTGGATCAGCTGGGAGCAGGAATCCAATCATGTTTCTCAGGAAACATGCCGTTGCAATGTAACGCTCAGGCATCTGCCGCGTGCTTTCTTTTTTTGGTATCTTTGTCTAGTTGTCAAACTACACTGCTACCTGTTGTGACAAATCCATCTTATCTCTTCGGGAGCAGCTGCTCTTCTAACTACGTTCTCCAATCGAGTTCGTGATTATTAATTAAACAAATTTGAATTAAGTACAACTTAATCATTTCGTTTTATTTGTGCTTACAAATACATACACACATATATACACAAACATATACCCTTTGATACGCGATATTATTTACTATTAAGTTTTTACACAAAATGGCGGCACTTGATGCGAATTTGGGCAAATTATTACATCTTGTACATTAATTGTAGTTTTTTGCTTATTACCTTGCGACTTTTCAATACCCTTTCAATGAGAGCTATTGAAAATAGTTCGGAGCGGGCCACTTTTTAACCACTTCCCACAAAGCACTTTAGCCGTTAATTGAATAACTGTAGGGTGATGCAGGGTTGCTACTTGTGAACCGTGGCCAATATAAGTTTCTTACTTGTTTTTTTAAAAAGATTTGTGGTTGTGGTTTGTCTAGGAAACTAGGGGTATGTGAGTCAGAGGCTTACATGATATAACTGATTTATTTAACCACACTGAGCAAGAATATGTATATTTTATTCAATGTACTAAGCGCTCTTAGATATGTCATGTGCTTTAAAACACTTAATAAAACGTTTTTGATGAGTATGAAAAAAGGCTATACTGAACTAAATGAAACACAATTTGGACCTTGGCAACCATGGTAAAAATCGTAAAAAAGTTTACGATTATTGTACATTTTTTTTATTCCAAATGCTTTGCATATTTATTTGACTTCATATAGTCTAAATAAATGAAAGCAAATCACGCCCTAATTGTCATTTCATGGAAAATGTCAGCAAGGTAATCACAGGACGTAACATGATAATTACAGTTGGTATAATTTTTAATAGCATTTCTATACACTACCGCACGCAGGAGTCTACAAAATTTGCCAAGTCGAAGATTCATCGTATTTAAGTATATCGAGCTTGCTAACAAAGTTAAAACAACACCTTACAAGGGAACCTAAAGATGCGCTTTAGAACTCGGCATTAATAGTGTGGATGGTGATGAAGTATGTAAAGACTAGTCAGCTGTCAATTGGAGGCAACTGCACTATAAGTAACATGTAAGATGCCTTCGTTCAATTCATCAGTCGACTTGTGTCTTCAGTTTGCGTGTTCTTCTTATTTTAGTGGACGCCACAACTATCGACATTCTCTTAATCAAAGGAACATGAAAAGTCTGAGAAAATATGAAGTCTTTGGATTTTTCGTTGGTTAGACATTTCGCTGGGATCCGTTCTGTATTAAAGAAGCACTTTATCTTAAATATTAGTATTTGCGGTTTAATATGTTTGCCCACGAAATATTTCCATAAGTCCCCAGACATTAATATATTTAAACAATTTTCATCACTTACTAAAAACGTTCTTCACTTCAAAATAAACGAGGAGTGGCTATTGTTGGCTTTATGTGATTATTTATAATTAATATAAGACTTACTTTCAGAATCAATCGACAATCAAGTCTATCCAGCATAGATAATAGTCTGAAAGTGTTAGTAACACTTGCAAAAAATAAGATAAATTTTTCATTATTAATTTTTTGTTTTTTTATCGGCTAATAATAAAGTCTGCGAATTCCATCCTTTCTACGTCAATATATCCAATCGCTGAGGAGTACAAAAGTTAGTTTTTTGATTTTTTTAGATTCGCATTTTATCGAGCAAAGAAACGTTGATTTTATATACGGTCTTTGCTGATGACAATATGTCGCATAAAATATTTACAAGTTCTACAAAGACTTCAAAGAAAACCGCGAACCGCTGCCAAGTTCACGATGACCAGCAACCCGGTTGACTATCAACGTATATCGAGGACATAAACGAAATCGAAGGTTTAATGTTCGAAACTTGTCAATTGACGGTTATGGACGTTACTGATGATATGGACATGGCTTTTGTGCCTTATACGTGTGAAATTTTGGCTGATTCCAAAGACGCCTCGCATTGACATCTGTGAAATGATGATTTCCGCCTCTTAGGACGTCATGGGCTTGAGTATCGCGCGACTTCTGGCTATTCAGCAAACTTGAAAAAGAACTGCTCCGAGCGCACCGCTTCGACTCGTTTAAGGAGATAAAAGCTGATTCGGAGAAATTATTTACTTAGATAATGCGGGAAAAAGACTTCACTGACTGTTTCAAGAAATGGTAAAAACGTTCGTATAAATGCCTTGTATCGGAACGAAAGGACTTTGAAGACGACGAAACTGATTTGGAAGAGTAAGCAAAGAATTTTCATTTTATAAGGAAAATTATCTAAATTTTTGATCGTAGTGTTATGCTTAGAAATTCTTTTCAAGTTGGAAATACTCAAAGAAATTCTTCCGTTTCTTGAATTCTTCTCAAATATTTCTACAAAATTTAAAGGCAAAAATAGGTTTATAACCGCTTTACTCAATATGAAATCGATATCTATTGGAAAAGTTGTGCAGAATTCCATTTAAACTCGATTAGGATTAAGTAAATTTCCGTTAAGAACGTGCAATTTATTCCCTTGCAATGGTGTGTAGCATAACAAAAAGTCAGGATGACAGTGGCTATTCAATTTTGTCTTATTATATCGATTGCCTTTATATATGTAAATTCTTCCGTCATTCAAAAGCCAATTGCAATGTCTAAATATCTGAAGTGGATAATTTGGTGATATTGAGTTTTATTTATGCAAATTTGTCTGTTGAACTTTTTCAAATTTCTAAAATGTCGAAAATGTCGAAAATGTCAACGTCAACGTCACAGTTACATAGTGCAGCTATTCAAAGCGATGTGCAAGTAAGTACGTGTTAACTGGATTTTTAGGCACATTGAGCGTTCTCCCAGGAAAAAATAAATAACAGACTAATGTAAGCGATGCTTGGCACTGCATTATCAGAATATAAACTTTTTTACTTTAAATATACAAAATTTGTGATACTGACAACTTTACTAAATTATTTTTAAGTTTTTCATTTAAGAATCATATATGTCGATAGGTTTCTGTAATGTATTCACTTATTATCCAAGGAAATGGTCTTACATTGACAAATCAGAATAGCACTCTTTTTGTACAAGCTCTAAGCCAAGCTTGCTCATGCAAGCGCCGGCATGTATATGAAATCGTTTGACAGTGTAAAGGTTGGCGAAGGGACTAAAGATTTTGATGATATCGTGAAAATCGATATTTTATGATGTAGTTTGTTTAATATGTATTGATGGTCCCATTACTCTTCGTTAAATACTCTGTGGCGTTCTTGTGGAATTCTTCTTTCAGCCAATTCGTCAAGAAGCGACATAATAAAATTCTAAAAATTTTCTGCGACTTCTGGTTAAAGCATTGTGATTTGCGATGAATACGTTGAAGCGTACCAGCTCGGTATTCGGATCTCGTTCTCTTGTAACTTTGGATAGGATAACTTATTCATGAACTCGTAAAATTTCATCGTACACGTAACACTTAAATCTTTTTATATCCTCTACCACGTGCGGTACAAAGGTATGTTAAGTTTGTGCAGATGTAGAGAGGCCTTTCACTATACCGAACATATGTGCCCGTCTGTTCTTTTGTCCATGTGTTTTTTTATACAACCAACAAGACCGCAAAGTTTGAACCAATTCCATAAATCGACAATAATATAATTTGTCTGTCCGTCTTGTTTTAGCGTGTTGAACCTATAGGCCACGACTTTTGATATATTTTTGGCCAATATCGAATGCTGTTGAAAATGGTTCGGATCGGACCACTTTCTCGACCACTTCCAATACAACACAATGTTTTCTATGAAGTCGTTGTATGAATAATCGTTGGGTAGCGTAGGATATCTACTATAGTGCTTTTACTTGTTTAAAGAAAAATGCAAACGCAGCGCAGCTTTGCGGAAAATTTATATATTTCCCTGGTGCCAGCATCCTATAACGCTAGTTTGTATAATAACTTCAAGCGCAAGTTGAGATACGATAAGTTATTACAACATGAAAATTTAAAGCACTGAGGCTCAACGTTTTCTAATTTCATATCTTTTCTGTAGGAAAAATTATTCATGATTATTGAATGGAGGTTGCAAAAATATTGTTAGAAAGTTTGATGTATAAATTAATAAAAGTTTTATACTCGCAGCTACAACAAACAAAGATTAAACTCAAAACGCCTTAAAATCATGATACACAAGACTTTTGACTTCATCTTATTAATTACTTTTCAATTTTTGTTTGCAGCCAATGCTATTCGTTGCCATCAATGCAATTCCCACTTGGATAAAGGCTGTATATCTTTGCCGTCGAACACTTCACTACAGCAGGGTGATGAGCAGTATTTGAAGGAATGTGAAGGCGAGCACAAAGCGCATGCTTTTTGCCGCAAAACAGTTATAAAAATTGAGGTTAGCGGAGAGCATCGCATTATTAGAAGCTGTGGCTGGAAGTACGATAGAGTCTACATGGCTAACGATGGTTGTTTCAACGCCGATAACGAAGGTTACACGCAAATCATTTGCGCCTGCAAAACAGATGCCTGTAACGCCGGGCATTCTATGGTCGCTTCAGGCTGGTCCCTTTTAGTTGCGACAGCGGTTTGTTTGCTTTTGGCTGCTGCTTCAACGATATAGTTATTGATCCGTTCTAGTGATTATATAATTAATTAATTTAATTTTATTAAAATTATTCACAATGTATTCTGTTTGATTTTACATATATTGATTTGTATTAGATTATTTTATTGAAAATTTCTAGCTTTATTATCTTTGCTCAATATAAAAATAACAAATGAAAATGAAATTAAAAACAAGTAAAAAAGTCATATTCGGCGGGGGCCGAATCTCCCATACCCGCCACTCTGCTTGTCGCATTCTACTTTCCAAGTTCTTTTATTTGATACCCATATCGCTGGTCATGTTAGGAAAAAATTGTAAAAAATGAATCCACTTTTAGGCTGATAATATATCTTCATTTGAGGAGTGTACAAAATAGTTTAAAACATTAAACGTCTTGTCTTCTTTACCTTATGCTAAATACGCATAAAACCTGAAAGAAATGAAGAAAATTAAACTTAATAACTCTTAACATTGTGTGGGCATGGCCGATTGGTTCCATTCTCGAAACTAGAGAGTAAGGTGCCTAGTGAAGTAAACGCCAACACTAATAACTTCCGAATAACCAGCAAAAATCCCCAAATTTTTATTAAAAAAATAAAGTTGCTTTCTAAATGAATTCAGAATTTCACGCTGATCAAGAATATATATATATTTTATAGAGTCTCTGAAGCTTTCTTTTGGGTTTTACGTACCTTATGGGAAAAAAGGAAGAGAGCATTCCCCTGTCTCACAGTGGTGGGTATGAAAAGATAAATAAATAAAAATAAGTAAGTACGTTATAGATCGGGAAGGCCGACCTTAAGCGCCATATGCTATTGCGCCTAAAACAATTGTTTATTTATTTTCGTGATAAAATAACGAAAATTATACTCTGTTTGTGAAGGCATAATTTTCAGCGGTTCCCTACATGGACGGCGCCCCGAAACGTAAACTGACCAGTTCTTTACCCATTTTGTCATAAGCTATTAAAAATCATGCTTTTTGCCGTATAAGCGAACCATCAAAATCCGGTGATGCCCAAAAAATACGCCTACGTGGTCCAAATTCGGTGTAGTTAATTTTTATATCAAATTATTTTTATCGACCAAATTTCATCATAAAATATTATAAATTAGATATTTATTCCAAATCCAAGCTTACTTTCCGTAAGAAGGTTTTTTTGGGAGGTAGTTCAAAAAATGAGGCCATCCGGCTTATATTTTGCACATGAATTTAATATACCGGAATGTTATTACGCGGCGATTTTTGTCGAGGCATTTTGAAAATTGCAAATTTTTTCCACGTATCGAGTTTTTCGAAGTAAATAGTTTCATAGCAAATCCTCAAATGCAGTCCATCTTTAATAGGGTTTGTTCGTGGGCCAAAACACGTTAGTGCATCAAATTTCTTTAAAATATCTCACAAATCGTGAGCTCTAGGTAGAATATAAAAATGTGTGGGCAGGCTTCTGACAGATGTAGGTCAATTCAGAAAATCGTTGTGAATTATTTAGAAAATGATTCTGAATTATTTAGAGACGATTCTGATTCGAACAGTATAATGAAAAATATTTTGGCTTTCATATGCATTTGCATCACAAGTGGTGTAGGGTATAAAGAGAGAGAAAAATAATAAAATAGCGTTTATTATTTTTCCAATTGCTTTACAATTTATCAAATTTAATGCGTACTTTAAGCAAAGTGACGACGGCAACGAATGTCTCTGGCCAAGTAAAGTGTTGTAAAGTTTATTTCTGTTTTTTTTTTTTTTTTGCCATATTTTTTCTCCCTTTGAACAAGAGAGCGTGGCCCTAGAATGCTTTTTAAATTATATTTTTTTTGTTTAGCAATTAATTTACACAAAATTATATTTTTTCTGGCACTTGTTTATGTTTTTTTTAGTTTTTTTTATTTATTACCATTTTGTTATTCTTCTGAGCGAGCATGTTAAGTTTTTCAAGTAGTTGTAAAGAGAAGAAATAGATACCCGAAAGTTCATAAGTATTGTTCGTGATTGAAGAAATTTCCCTGACCTTTTCCTTCCCGGTGTCACGAATAAGCTTTTAAAGGAACAATTTTTCCTCGATAGAAATTTTTCTATTTCTTTCTACAGTACAGACTATAACGCATCTGTCATAAATACGCTCCGAAATAATCAAAACTAGATAAAAACTTATCCTTTGTACTATTAAGAAAGTTGTCACTAATAGCGCCGGTTATGACGGTGGAAAGAAATATTTTCACAGTTTCAAATCACTGTAAACTGGTTCACGCAAAGTTAATATAATTATAAGATTTTTGTGTATGTGATAAGAGTTGGAAACATTGTCTTCCTAATACTAAAAAATATGCATTCAGGACTTAATCTGCATCATGTTAGAAGAACGTGGAGAAGACTTTAAAAAACATCTGGTAAAAATTATTTTTAAAATTTAATTTATATTTATGATTTATATTATTACCATTATTATTATTATTATTATTATTATTATTATAATTAATTTGGATGAAAGAAAGAAATTTGGCCCTAAAGCTGGCTATGAGCTGTGTTAACTAAAAATTAAATTAAAATGAAATCATATTTAAAAGTATTGCGAGAGTTTTACGTTCTAATTAAAAATAAAAATTATTTTCAAAGATATTTTTGCTTGTTTTGTGTTTCAAATCAAATTCCTATCATTCTTAGAAAACGGCCAATAGATATCTTTGGCTCCAGTTAAATTTTTTGTTACTAAAATTATCAAAGATCGCAAAGCGTAGTTAGAAAGAAGAAACACTAGTAGCGCCTTTAAAATTCTTTAATTTTTCCAATCATTTCCTTTAAACATTTTCGAAGAGAAGCGGAGGGCTAAGAGACTCTCAGGTCCGCCACGTATTGCCACTTAACTAAAAATTGTTGATCTAGTTAGCTTAATTGTTGGGTATCTGAAATTCACTTTAAAGTGACCGGTTGCACTTTTAATATACTTAAGAATCGGAAATAAAAGCATTTTACTCCTCTTATAAATGCCAATAAAAGCATTTTATTGCTGTTCATCAAATTATTTATGAGTCATCATAGAGCTCTAAAGAAAATAACGATGATGATAAGCTATTGAGTTGAATGTATAACTTAAAATTTAATGTTTTTCCAGCTAAAGGGGTTTGAAATGATCGAATTGAATCCATTGTACTCGCTAAACATTTTGCGCCCATCTACACATTGTTGCTAACGAATCATGGATCATTAACAGTACAACAGAAGAGTTTTAGATTGACACTTTGGTAGTTTTTCAATATTATTGGGTATTGCCAACAGTTGCATGGCAAAGACTCAAAGAGGACGGTTGAAATTTCGGTGGAACCAATAGTCTCCTAATTTTTACATCCTGGCGTTTAGTTTCTATAAGATTTATCCATGTTAAACTCTGGTCAACAAGTAAGTTAAGATATTTTCCACACTTGTTGATAGCGTTATTATTGGCACTCACGAATTGACAACCTGTTTAAGTTTCACTTCGTTTAGCGTGAACGTGTTAGATGTAGAAGTTTCAGGATTTATTTTAACAGCCTATTTGTTGAGCTCAAGTAAAATTTTGTTGAGTTGAATTTGTAGTTCGTAGGAAATTTTCATAAGGTCAGGAGATCGAAATAGGATTGGTGCATCATTTGCAGATGTCGCCATTCGAAAACGGTTAGCGATCGGAAAATCAAAAATAAAAATTATATAGGTTGTTAGGCTTAAAACACTTCTCTATGACCCTCTACCTTCAAGGTTGGATTTATCATTTTCAGCTTTTAGATAGAAAGATCTCTTTTGTAAGCTGGATTTAAACAGCATGTAGACAGGAGTTGGAAGAAATTCATTAAATTGAAAAAGGACTCCACCATGCTGGACTACCGTAGGCCTTCGCCGCATCTGTGAATATACCGTCTCAGCAATTTTTACTTGCAATGGCTTCTCTTTTATGTGAAGCGGCACGATCAACGGCACCATGTTTATTTCTGAACGAGAATGAGTGGTCGGCAAAGATAAGTTTTTGTTCCAGAGCTGAGAGAAATCTACTCAGGACGACCTGCGTTTTTCATATGTTAAAAATCCAATTCAAAATCCTTCTTCGTAATACCTTATAAGACTGAGATCTCTTGGCAATATCTTTTAGGGATGGATTCATTGACATCAAAAGATTGAGGGAGTATCATATACTGGATCTTCCACTTCGAATGTCATTTATTTTTCTTCATTAATTCGTTTCAATGCATTTTCTAAGTTCATATAGTTTGTTCTTGTTTATTTAAACTTCATATTTATTATTTGTTTTATTGTTCTCATCGGGGGTCAATAACATTTATTATCTTAATTATCTTCCGATAACATTTGCTTATTGTCTTTTCAAACAAATATGTAATGAAAGAAAATTCAATACGTTGTATATATTTTATAAGGTGATTCTTTTCTGATGAGGAGCATGAAAATTGAAACCGATTGATCATATTCGCATTTCGCTTAACGTAGAAAGGGAAGTAATTAAACACAACAAATCTACAAAAGGTCAGTGAATGAAGTAAGTCCGTACAATATGTTTAAGTGAAGCGATTTTCTCCATTTTTCAAAAGTGTCGAAAATTCCCATATAATCTCATATAGAATCTTTTTAAGGCAGGCCATTACAAGGAACGTGTTCTAAAAGAGATCCTATCCGAATCATTTTCAGTAACGTTCGCTCTTGAGCCAAAACATTTCGTTAAAATATCTGAAAAATACCGACCTATTGGCTCAACGTAAGTGAACAAGACGAACATCGGGACAGGCGGGCAGGCAGGCTTAGATCGATGCAGAAAGCGTTTTCGAATCAGTCGGTGTAATAAAAGATGATTACGTCCTTCTGGACGTTACATATATCCGATTGGACTTAATATACCCTTATACGAAAAGTGATGTAGAGTAAAAACAGTGGGAACATATAAAAGTCTTTTTTCGTTCCACAATTGGTGAAAAGAAATCGATCTACTAATTAAAATTCTTTGCACCTTTCCAAGTAATTTTATAATTGGAAATTTTTTTTAGTAACTTAAGTGATTAACGCTATATAACATAATAATTTTTCAAGTCTCGTTGGAGTCGCACGGTCACGCGCCTAGTTTTAGGTAAATTCTATGAAGGTTTTAGTGTTTTACTTATTTTCGACATTTGGATGATTATTTCATTTATAAACTTTTCTTTAGGCTAATTTG